CCTTCCATAGCATGCTATTCTGTATCACAGGGAAAAGTTAAATCTCCACAGAATTTCCATTACAATCACATGAAAGTTTCAAATTCTGATACAATCAGAATCTAGGAAATGTCAGATTAAAGGTCATCAAGGCAGTCTTAGTTTAGTCCCTTTACACCCCTATTTTATGATATGGCAGTTAAGTTAATGACTGTGTGCTGTTTGTTTTTTCTTGCATTTTGGAGTTGGACTTAGTATTGTCTAGTGAAGCAACCCAATTTGCAGCATCTCATCGACTTTTATTTCAGAAATGAGAAGCAATATAATGATTGGGCATGTGACTTCACAAAGAGACAAAATGGCTATGATGATGAAATGTCACCCAGGGAATTACATTCTATTTTTGTCTCTACCAAAGAGTTCCTGTGTAATACTAATCCAATCAGTTAAATCAAGGGATGACTAATTAGTGTTCTTCATGTAATGAAGACGCACGGATCATCAGCCTTAGGGTTGGAACCTGAGCTGTGATGCAGAGTTCTTCTTCATTAGAATTACAGGAGTAAATAATAACGCTAAGCTGTGCTCCTTGAAGGGAGACTGTGCCCTTTCTTCCTCTCCCTTCCCCTCCCCCAGCAGTAATTCCCATTGATTTCACAGATATATTGCTGGCACCTAGCTTGTTTTTTCTTGTCTCTTCACTAAGCTACTCCCAAATATCCTTCTGTAGCGTAGTTTCTTACAACATCTGTCTCTTCTGTACTCAAGACTCTGCCTGGAAAGTTATTAACTCTCAGTAGAGTCTGCTTTTGCATATGCCCAGAGGCACCAAATGCTATGCGCTTGTATTTTAAAGTGATCAGCACAAAGTGCAAAAATAGTATAGGGAGCGGGAACCCATTTGTATAACTTTGTTAAGCTTCCCTGGGCCAGGAAGAGATATAAACACCCTTTGCATTGGCATAGAAAGGAACGCCTCAGTCGAGTAACTTGTATGGCAGACCTTGTGGTAAAGAAATTCTGCTGGGAGGTGGGAATAATGCATTTGAACATTTGTAGGCTGAAAAGAGGTCACGTTCCTTTTTGGGTATAGCCTCTTGTCCTTGTCTTCTTTACTGATGCCCTGCACAGTGTCCACTGTCTAGCCTTTACTTTATGGTACTTCAGTCAGCTTCTCTTCCACACTGCCTGGGTCCCAGCTAAAGTAACATTCAGAACAGATGTTAGATGCAAGGTATTAGATGCAAGCTTAGTTCCTATATCTGACCCCGTTCCCAGAGATGGAACATTTAATTTATCTGAGCTGGGCTGGAATATGCTCGTTTGCTTTTGGAGGATGTATGTGGGTAAGCTTTTTAGGTCTGAGAGAGGCTTGACTACATTCATTGATGATAGCATAGCTGTTAGGCTCTAGCAGTGGCTCTGCTGTTCATGAGCCGCTGTGACATAGGAGCAGTTAATAGCTTTGGCCATATTTAGTAAAAGATCTGTACTCATTCACAGATTCGAAGCCCATGTTACAAAAAGTGGGGGTAGTAGAGTTTTGCAAAGAAAACCTTATCACATTTTTTTTTTAATGAAAATGCATTTCTTTAATCAAAATCCATTTTCCGAAACGGCCTACCTAGGTTGTCCGAATTAAAAAATAAGCAAACTCTCAGTCCAAGACAAACACCTATCATGAAATATTTCAGCCTGAATGCTCAAATTCTGACAAATTTATAATAAATTGTAAGAACATCCTATAATAGGAAGTTTCAGATACCTTAATAATAGCAGCCTCTAAGTATACAGAAGTTTTCAAACATCTGAAGTAAATATTTCACAATATAATAAAAATGGTGGATGTGGAAGTAGCTATTTTGGTGATGAATATTGATTATTATTTTGCCATTTTTCCTTTACCCGTATTTCCAGTCACAGGTTGGTATTTGAGAAGAGAAAACATCAGAATAAAATATTTAATTTCAAACTGCTGTTCTGCAAACTGTGCAAATTGTGCAAGTTTAAACACTTCACTCTACAGCAAACAAAATTCCTTTCCCAAAGCATCAGCATGCAAAATTTGCCCAGACTATTTAAGATGGATCAGAAGATAAATTTCATTATCACAGAAATAGCATACAGTATTTGCATGTGTAATGACTGCTTATGTATAACAGCTGCTTTCATTTAAAAAGAGCAAATAATGATTGTTCTAATTGAGAACACACAAACTATCTTGTCTTAGTCTGTCTCCCTCCTGCCTGTGGGGAAAAATCAAGAAAGGGAAATGAACACGACCAAATCTAATACTTTAAAATTGCTACCAATTTTGTTTACCCAGTAACGGCAGAATAGTTTCTATGCAAACTTTAAACTTTTTTTTGTAAGGAGATTAGGTTTCAAGTTGATAACCTTTTGTTACAGGATTAACAGATTTTAATCAAAGGAAAAAAGCAAGAGAGTACGCTTTATGCGTTAGGTTCCAAGATACGACGCTAAAAAATAGGTCATGGGAACTGGGCCCATGGTATCTGCTTCCCTGCCATAGCACTTGTAAAGAAGTTCCTCTCTAAGCTGCAGTATTGGAGGAATAGGAAGAATCCAGGATCTTGATCATAGCTTGATCCATACACCATTTTCAAATTCCAGGACAGAATAGATTCCTGAAGATACTCGCTAACAGAGCCTGTAAGAGAAGACTGTCTCGGCTAATCCATGATGTTTCACTGGTATTTTATGGAAAATAAAATCTTAAGACCCAGATGTTAGAGTCTTCAACTGCAAACGCTTACATCTTTGTAAGAGTACACAGTCCTTAACCAGAATAGCTTCAGGATCTTTAAAAATACACAGTACAATTTAAATAATATAGTTAACAGATGAATCAAAATACGTATCGAAAATGGTTTTTGTAGTAACAAAATGAGAAAAAGTGTGTGAGTGTTTATGCATTAGGGATTGGTTGGTGTGTCTCTTTCCCAGTGCCCTGCTGAAGATGTTCCATTTTTTATAAAATAAATATTTTAAAATGTTTTTATAAAATAGCTGAAACATTTTATGGATCTGAAAATGATATTTACTCTCTAGTCTGTTGATACTTACCAACAAAGTGCATTAGCTCCAACTGCTGCTCCACTGACTGTTTAAATGGTCTACAAAAACTTAGTAAAACTAGGCTCAGCGCTAGAAAAGACTCATTCTACAATGAGTTGATCTACACTCAAAAAGAAAGGGTGGTTCTTGGTTTCTTATTTGCGGCTCTGGCCTGTGCATTCCTGTCCTCTCCTTTGTAACAGCTCTAGAGAATTATTACCCTTTGTTGAAGGGTAAACCCATCCGCATGGTTAATTCTCTGAACCCAGTCACTGTGTAGTCAGATAAGTGTCAGGGATGGCTTAGTGGAATTAGCAGATGGGCATTGCAGAAAATGGATTGGGGCAGAGGGACCTTCCCAGTTGGCTGGAGCTGGTCATTTTTCCTGTTTCATGTCGAAGTCATGACAGTGTAGAAAGCATCTTTATTTGTTTACTAAGCTATAACGAAATCTACAGATAAGTAACCCAGATGTGTAATATTTTGAAAACCCAAATTTAAAGGTTTTCATAGTAATTATAGCGAATGACTTTGTATATATGTATCAAATACAGGACTGATTTCACCTTTGTACTATTTTATCAGGCTGAAACTGAATTGCAGAGAGCTTCACTGGATGCAACTCGAACAACTCGGCAATTAGAGGAAACCATTGATAATTTCGAGAAACAGAAAATAAAGGACATAAAAGTATGTGTGCTCACATTTCAGTATATGACATCACATTTCATCTTGCATCTTAAAATTACTGTAGTTACTCTTTGGCAAGATTAGCATAACTTAGCATTTAGTTAAGTCTATGTAAATATAAATCATGTAATATTCACAAGTTTTTCATAATCCAAAGACTGCGAAATTGCATGTAATTACAAAATGAATTAATTATTCTTACGGTTTCAGTGGCTTCAAGATTTTCCTGGATTAGATTGTTTAGCGGCTGCAGTGTCCAAAAGTTGCTGTGTTCTATTTTGCTAGTAGCTGCATTTGTTAGTGGAATGACGTGTATATTAAATCAGCAAAATGAACAGTAATAAAGTAAACAATATAATGATCCATGCTGGAATTCGGGTAGGTTACTGGAGTTAAGTCTTACTCATGTAGAAAGTATCAAATGTTTAGTGACTGCTAAAGTCCCAAAGACTACAGCAATTGAGAAGGTTTAAATTATGTGATCTCATATTGAACTGTAAAATTGCTGAAGTGAAATACTTTTTTTATTAAAAAATATATACATATGAAAGAATTAAAATGAGTTCAAACCAACCAACCAACCAACCCACCAGTATTTGATATAACGTGAAAAAGATTGTGTGAGCTTAGGAGATACCATTGTAAAGGGAAGGATTATATCCATATATGTGTGTATATATATGTATGTATATATGTATGTATGTAAATATGAAAATTATTATATTATTATCTCCTATATAATTATTTCTAAATTATATATATGTTTAAAGTTTACAGATAACTTGTTCCAAACAAGTTAAGATTGCTATCTGTAAAGCAAAAGGCAGTGAACAGGTTTTGCAAATAGATTTTATGATCTCATTTTATTTACTCCTAATGAGTGTCCTCTTTGCTTTTCAAATGTTTACGTAGAATTTAGTATGAAACAACCACTGGATAAGTGACAGCCCAACCAGCATTTTATTTAATTTCTAACTGCAGGTCCAACTTCTTACTACAAAAAATAGAAGGTTTTGTGCAGTCATTTGTATCATAAAAATATCACACACACAAATCAGTAAGTTCTTGTATTAGAAGCAGAAATGTACTTTACTGCATTAAGAAAACCTTTGTTTTCGTTTGCTTTTAGAACATATTTTCTGAATTTATAACTATTGAAATGTTATTCCATGGGAAAGCTTTAGAGATTTATACTGCTGCCTATCAAAATATCCAAAATATTGATGAAAATGAAGATTTAGAGGTAAGAGTAATTAAAATTTACTTTTCAATTTATTTCTTATATAAAGAAGTCATTTTTTTCCACACTCTTGAGCTACACATGTTCCAGGCAAAAAATGAAACGTATTGTATGGGTGAGCAGAACAAACTATCATTTGACACTGAGCTCTTTCTGCACCATTCCAACAAGGAGTTTACAGGCTATACAGGTTTATAAACCCAGAGATTTTAAAACTAGGTGAGAACAGCAGTGACTATCTAATCTTTTGTACAAAATACGGATAAGAGACTTTTTCTAAATTAATTGCCACTCCAAGCCGAGGTCGATCACAGTTTATTAAAGGACACCTTCTAGGATAACCTTTGCAGTGAATCTTGCTGTAAAGATGCACGCTAAGAGAGAAATCGTATCATTACTCTGATAAGATGTTCTAAAGACTAATTACTCCATTTAAAATCTGTATTTTCTTTCTATTCTGACTTTTGCTTTTTTTCATCCTTAGATACCGTTTATTAGGCTGTTGCTAGAGTGAAGAGACATTTGTTACCAATTTTTTTTGGCCTGTGGCAGTTACAGCTTGCCTTCAAGTCACCCTTACTCTTGAGTTACAATTCTTCTGGATATTGAACCTTTAAACTTACTACTATTCAAATGGATACTGCGTGCATGTATTCAGTTTGTCAAGCAAACTGGATCATTTCCAATATTTTTCTGCTTTTTGTAAATCTTACGGTACTAACTTTATTTTTTCTAAGACATTATATAGGACTAAGAATGGCAGCATTCAGTCATTGGAAGATATGTAAAATCATGATTCTTCAGTGACAGTCATATTTCAGATCCAATAGTGGCTTTTTTTGTTTAACTTCGTTTAGACTGCCATGTCAATGTTATGTTATTCTAATTCCATAATTAAAATATCATCTATCACTGAATCAAAAAAAGAAAATCCTTTAAGTCAATATTTTATTTTTTTGCAACCAAGTTTCTAATCTCACTTAAAAACTCCTGTTAATTTGACAAAATTTACTTCCTATAAAAATATTGACTGGCCATGATCCTACTATCTTCCTTCAGTTTATTAAAAAAAAGTCTTGCATCAATAATTTTACTGTTTTCAGTATCCGGCTGCTAGTCCTATAATTTATTGTTTGGATAATGGAAAGAACTAGTAAATACAACGAAGGCTATGTTTTCCCCTGTATTCTAAGGCTTTTCCCAAATTGTTCTTGAGCTGCACATGTCTCTTGAGCATTTCAGAGGAAACTTTTGTGATGTAACTGTGATTGGCAGCAAGAATTTGCTGGTGAAGGGACGCAGCGATTCACCTCCCCCAAAATTTGGAGAGCCTGCCAGTGGTTTACTGTTTCTAGCTGGGGTTGGTATCTCTAGCTCAGCCTGAAACACAGCTGCCTCATACCACACACAGCATGTGCCAGGACCCCAGGTAACCATTGCAGATTCCCACCTCTAAATCACTCTTAGAATTCTGCATCCCCTCAGATCTCTGAAGAATGTGTAGTTGCACCACATAAAGGTGTTGATATGTGTGACGTGTCTCAGGGTGAGCGGGGATGTTACTTCTGCTAAAAGTGATCCCAAGTGATCCATCCAAACTACAGTTGATACATATTTCTACAGCAGGGTTTTGTTACAATTGTCCAGTGTTGCACTTCTTTTAGAGAGCTTCAGTCTTGTAGACTGTTAGCTTGCAAGCTGTATCATTGCATCAAAGTCACAGCTCTCTTCTTCTGAACAGGTTTTTCGGAGCTCGCTCTATCCACCTGACTATCAATCTCGCTTAGATATAGTTCGTGCAAATTCAAAGTCCCCCTTGCAAAGAACTGGTTCCTCAAAATCTTCATTGAGGATGCTACAGGTAAGAAAGAAAAATTAAATGTTAGATCACAGTATGAAAAGAATGTCTTAAGTAGAGCCTATGACATTTACATTACAGCCTATGACATTTACATTAGCTCTACTAGCTCTACTAACGTAGAGCTAATGTAAATGTGCCCAAGTCCACTGTCTTTAGTAAGTTTAGGACAGATGCAAGACATAAAGGGACTTCCAAGTCTATAAAGATCCTATTAAGCTTTTAATAATACAGCTTCTAAATACAGGTTTTTTTCACAAGACAAATATTAGCTTTCCAAGCAATGTTGTTTTGAAGACTGTCCTTTCTAATGATGTAATTTCCTTCAGTAACAAACTATAGGTTCTTGCAGAGCAAATGAACACTAGGAGCTTCTTAGAAACTGAAATGATGTTCTTTAACCTTTGCGTAGTCTTAGTCACAGGAACCACCAACTGCACAGCTCAAACTAGCAATACTTTCTAGCAAAACAATGACCTGTACCTTTCCCTTTATGCTCCACAAATGCAGAGCAGGTGAGGAAAAGCAGAATAGTAAGAAATGGAACAGCTGGAGTAAGTGCCACAGCTTTTGAACCAGCTGCCTTGCAAGTCTTTGACTCTTGTTTGCAGCAGTAAACTTGCAGACGCTATCTCAATATAGCTATTTTTCTTTATTATAGTCTTAATCCAATAAGTAAGATGATTCTTACTGGTGTATCAGTTAAAGACAAAGATGCCCTAAATTAAAATGACGGCATCCCACCTTTCTGCTTTCGTTGCAGTCGCACGTTGTTTGCCATACTGAAAAGTTAGTTTTCTTGACTTCACACACAGCATTACCCCTACTCGCCTCACAAGTCATAGCGGATCATTACAGTTGAATTATTCTGTTGCTGAAAGCGTGATTCATTCCATTTCAAAAGATGAAAGAATCCAGTGTTTAAGTGCATGAAGACGAACCTTTACTTTGAATAAGCTGCCCATCCTCACAGTCAGACAAGCAAATTTCAGGTTCAAGTGCTGGCTTCCTTGACTGTAACTAATCATGAAAGTGCTAGTTGCTAAAAATCTAGAAGTACCCACTTTCAACTAAGTTATTTTTGGTGAAAGAACTAATACCATAAATAAACAAAGGCTAATAAACCCCCCATAACATGAAGATCCATGCACTGAGATGTACAGAGCTATAGCATCTTGTCCTGTGAAGTCATAGTAAAGGGCAATGTTGGGGTCCAAGGCCAAATTATGGAACTGTAGTGTGCCCCAAATGCAAAGCCAGATCATTCATTCTCAGAACACTATCAGAATTCTGATAACACATGCAAGCCTGTCTCAGAAGGGTTTAAATGGCTTCACTGTGGCACGTCGTATCAAAATGGCAGGACACTGTTATTCAGGACTGGGTATCTCTTGAAGTACTGAGTGCAGTATTTCAAGATGTAAAAGTTTTTTTCCTTTAGATTAAAAAGAAGTCCTTAAAACCACTGTTTTGTTTATGACTCATTTTTCACATGTGAGATCCCTACTGGTTTTCTTTTAGCTTCACGGGCTGGCTTAAATAAAAAGCCTATCTTGTTACAGAAGTAAAATTTGGCTGCCTGAAAGGTCACACCTTCTGGTACCCAAGGGACATTTTCCTTTACTTCATACACATTGCCTGAAGACAGTGTAGGACAGCTACTGTGAAGTGTCCAATTTCTTCCCTCTAAAATATATGTTGCAATTCTACAAATTCATAAAGAGTACAGCTGTTTTGATAGTCCCTATCTAACTGAGATTAATGCCACTTCACCTGTTTAGGTGGACAGAAATAAGAGACGACATGGAAAGAGATTGTTTTTTCTGCCTTGTACACTACGGTCATGATCTGCTGTTACCTATTTGAGGAAATAGGTACCACGTATTTGAGGAAGTGTTTATCAGTTCATTTTTGAACACCAGAGAAAGCTGGTTCTTACCTGCTTTGAGAACTCCCCGTAGCACTGTAAAACAGTATCAAGGGTAGTAGTATCTGTAAGTTACTTTGAGGCACCACAGATAGCTACACTTTTTGGACCTTATAAAAAACAGGAATCTGAATGTATGACCTTGAGATTTCTCCCAGAGGTGGCCGAGAATTCCATTTTGGCTAATTTACGAGTTTATTGTACTTTTCTCTCTAGGCCTCTCTTTCAGCTATACCTTTTGGATGTTAATGTTCTCTTAACCTCCTGTTGGAATGTGTGAGAAGTAAAGGGAGTCATCTAGACCTAGAGCGAAAGCACTACACATTCACGATAGATGTCACCTTAATCTGCTGTGGTGTATGTCTGCAAAAGAGAATCACAGTGCAGGAAAAAAGGGGTGGAATACCTTACTGCAGTCAGTAGAGGGCAATAAAGAAGATGCAGGCATCCCAGTCAGCACACTTAACCGCATAGCCCTTTTTAATTCAGCAAACAGTACATTGTGGCTAACTGCATCAGTATCAGCACCTTGAAACTAGGGGCTATAATCCCTAGAAGCAACCAAACATCTTGCTAGCAAAAAATGTGTTGAGCAAAACCTTCAGTTGACTAGTCTCACCTTCTATGTGGATCCTTCACTTCCAAAGTTTTCATATCAGTCTGGTTTCATGCTATGTAATAATCCGTGACTGACCGTAATGCAGTAGTTCTGAATTTTCAGTTTGAAGCAGTTAGAGCTGGAATGTGTGAAGACCACTTACAGACAAGAAAATTACATCCTTGATATTTTTACTTTTGTTCCGCAACTCTTCTCCCCCTTGACGTTCATAGTTGTTTAGTCTTCATCTTCCACTCACAGTAGCTGAAGAAATTGAGATGCCAGTTCCTCCACCATACCTGCCAGACTTCATTTACCAGACAGTACTATAAAACCACAAGGAAAAGAGCAATGGGCAATCCTGTTAGAAAGGGTTAATGTCCAAAGCTGCACTGACAGTACAACCATAAAAACGTGTATTTTTTCACTTCTATGCAATTAAGATAATCAGGAGAGAAAACATTAATGTATAAGAAACAATATCAAGGTGTTATTCATAGGCTGGCTCTAAACCTTTTTGTGGGTTTGGGGATTTTGTTTTTTAAACAGGAAACTTTGCAGATACTTAATTTTACACAATTGCTGAAAATCTATGTATGTTTTCATGACAGTCCTTAGCAAAAATTCCTGCATTTTGCCTTTTACTTACTTGGCAATTTTTATCTTTGGTGTTTCATTTTACTGATTCAGATTGGTATGCTGTATTTAGCCAGAACTACAGCAGAGAATGACATTTTCCAAACTTTCCCAGGCATTTTAGATCAAGGTAAACTAAACAATTTTTATTGTTTATGTGCGTTTCATATAGCCAGCTGTTTTGCACCTGCCCTTCTAGGACAGCAAAGTCCTAGAACATCACGGCTGAAACTGTGTGCAGCCAGGTGTTCCAGCACTGCCCACTGTATCACAGAATGGCCAAGGTTGGAAGGGACGTCTGGAAATCATGTACTCCAAACTCCCTGCTCAAGCAGGGTCCTCTAGAGCACATTGCACAGGATCACATCCAGACAGATTTTGAATATCTACAGGGAAGGAGACTCCACCATCTCTCTGGGCAACCTGGTCCAGTGCTCTGTCACCCTCACAGTCAAGAAGTTTTTTCCTCGTGTTCAGATGGAACTGCCTGTGTTTCAGTTTGTGCCTGCTGCCTCTTGTCCTGTCATATCCTGTAGATATTTGTATACATTGATGAGATCGGCCTCTCAGTCTTCTCTTCTCCAGACTGAACAGGCCCAGCTCCTCAGCCTTTCTTCAGAGGAGAGATGCTCCAGCCCCCTCATCCTCTTTGTAGCCCTCCGCTGGACTCTCTCCAGTGGTGCCATGTCTCTCTTGAACTGGGGAGCCCAGAATTGGACACAGCACTCCAGGGGAGGCCTCCCCAGGGCTGAGTAGAGGGGCGGGATCACCTCCCTCCACCTCCTGGCAACACTCTGCCTCGTGCTCCCCAGGATATCATTGGCCTTCTTGGCCACAAGGCCACACTGCTGCCTCACGCTTAACTTGTTGTCCACCAGCACCCCCAGGTCCTTCTCGGCA